CAAAAAAGTTTGCTATATATATCATCATCACAGTGTTGAATTATGAAAGTCGGTACAAAATTTTCAAATTTTGATTAAAATACCGAGTTGGATATATCACCAAAGAGAGAAGATCTTGCACTTTAAGAATATAGAAGAAATTTTGCCGTATGTTAATTATGTCACGTGACAGAGCTAATCAAAGTTAAAAATCGCGATTTTCAAATGGCTGTAGAACCGGAAGTTAACATTGCGCAACAAATGTGGGGACAGATCTTGCCAAGGGCAACAATTTTTGTTCTGATCACAAGGTCCAAAGGTCGAGGTCACGAGATATGAGCCTTGAAAAATATCAAACGAAAATAAATAAAAAGCAAAATTAGAAAATCGGCTCCTACACTTTTGTGAAGACTCGACTGCTGATGGATAGACATTGAAATGATGTAAAACCTATTAACCCCTATTTCAAGAAAATGTTCTATAGAAAATTTGGCCATTCAAGATGCCGGATGATTCGCTTCAACGGAAAAAATCAGTTTTTTAAATATTTATAAAATTCCAGAAGTAAAAATTTCAACTTTAGAAGAAAATGACGTCAAAACCGGAAGTGATAAAAAAAAATTTGAAAACATAATTTTGTTCGCAAATTTTCAGATCGATTGAAGTAAAGAAGTAGAAGTTGAAAAAACCGCTAAAATTAAAACAAAAAAAGTCAGCGACAAAGGTCAAAGTTTTAAATTTTTTAAATTGCTATCCCTTAGCTACTACTAAAAAGTAACGAACAAATCAAAACTTTCGATGAAAAAATGATTCAGAAAAGTAGTAATTCGAAAGTCATAATGAGTGACTACGCCCGTTTTCATGGCAAGCACCCCTGATTGACTAATCAGACGAACTGAACACTAAAAAAGTAAGTTGTTTAGAGTAATCGGTGTCAAGACAATTGGGGCATAACCAACGAATTGGAAATGTTTCGAGGACAAATCAGGTTTATTTCACAAAGTTCGAAAAAACATAACCATCATGATGCCACACCACTAACACCCTCCACCCACACCAATCCCATACACAAAAGCGTTTAGATTGAGATTGGTGCAATATATTTTTTCACATGCAGACTGAATGTAATACGACATTTTAAATGTATTTTAATCTCATTACTACATAAGTGACGTTATTTCACCAAAGACATATACAAATTCAAAGCATATTGAATATCTATTAGTGGTGTCAAATTGTTATCATCAACAATGATGTTCATTTGGCACACACAACCTTAACAAGTATTGGTAAATATCTTGTTCGATTCCTTTTTTACACCCCACACCTCCATATTTATCTGTACATTAAAACTGTCGACCGTATGGTAAAGCCCTATTGTTTCTTCCCTTTCGGATTTTGTGGTTATTCCAGACTTTGGAAATTTTGTCTAGTTCTTCCTGATACAGAGTTATATCGACAATACTGTTATTTGAAAGTGGATGCGTGTGATTTCTTTAAAGAAGCAAGATCTGCGTGGTTAATACTTGCTAAAATAGTCTCAAGTATAAAGAAGGGTTGTCGAGCACCAGTTTCGTCCTCGCCTTCCCCGAGAGAGGGCAGGGGATAGGAATTTTTTTTATTTTTTTTTTCTTCTTCTTCTTTCTTTCTTCATTTCTTTCTTTCTTTCTTCATTCGGGGTCAGGGACATTTGGTACGGGGTGAAGTTGGAGTCTCAACTTCGCTCCATACACAATTACGAGAAAATTTCATTCCCGCCGCGAGCACAGTGATTTCGACTAAAAGTGGTGGGTGAGCACCAATTTCGTCCTCGCCTTCCCCGAGAAAGGGCAGGGGATAGGGGGGAAAGCTCTTGGATCTTTTGCAAAAGCATGCGATGCAGTGAAAAAATCTGACAGAATTGCAACATAAAAGAGAAATGCGAAACAAAAGACTAGAAAATAAAAAAGTCAATGGGTTTAAAATTATTGGATAAAAATCTCAACTGATTAATGGGAGTTAACACTGTTTTTTGTTTACTTCAGAGTAAAATACCAACTAAACTAATGCTCAAAAGAAAGTACCCACTAGGTTTGACCAAGCGTTAGGAGAAAACAAAAGCAGATATAAATGAACAACTATGTAATTCCAATAAAATATTCATTTCTACAACAAATTTACACAAATTTAAGTAACAGACAGCTGTGTTTACTGTGCGACCGGCACATAAAGACAAGGGGGGTCGGGATTACACTATTACAGAAATTCAGAAGGCAAATTGTCTTTAAAAAATAATCAATATTTATCAATTAATTAATTAATAGCGAGTGTGACTCCCATTAGCAGCAATGCAGGCGATCAGGTATCAATGTTTGTTACGGTGGAATATTAGGAATTTAATCATACAAAATCAAGGTATGTTCTTTGTTTAATTTAATCATCAGACGAGAGGGTGGAATTAAGATTATCAATTTTGTTTTATTCCAGACACAAGTTTAATAGATGCCAGCATTTCATATCACGAAAAATATTTAAACCATCACAGGCGGTAGGGGATACAAAAAGCCCAAGAATGCTGCCAAACTCTGTGACAAATATCCAAGGTTTCAAAATTGTTGATACAGATTTCGAAAATAGAACAAGCGGTGAAGAACATGTGACGTATATCTACCCTTCTCTAGGAGCGGTCATGACCTCATTTCATACCGATCTAATTGTAGCGGTCATGTCTGTTGAACGCTTTTTCAGAATTGGTAATGACATTTCATTGTATCAATTGAATAGTTTCTCCTATAGTTTTTCATTAAATCTTTCGTATTAAAAATGTATTGTGTTTATTTCATTATTAATTAGCAACAAATATGTTATTTCGGTGCGGGAGACATTCAAAAGTCATTGGGTTCTCTTCCTGGATTTCCATGGGCAAAATATCCCGGAGAAAAAGATCTCCCAGGGGACAATTATACAGGTCCAGGCACGAGATTAGGTCTACGATTGGATGAAAATGATAATCCCAAACCAGGGGAAGAACCCATTAATAGAGTTGACGCAGCAGCGCTGAAACATGACTTACTGTACAGAAACAAAGACATAACATTCAGACACCAAGAAGACAAACACGAACTTGAAAATATTCCCAATCCCACTTTCAAAGAAAAATTGCAAAGAGCTCTTGTAAAAACTCTTGAAAGCAAAATTGAAATTGGGTATGGGCATAGCAGACGAGAATCACAAAGAATTTCAAAAAACAAACATTATACCTCAAAGTCAAAGTTTTTGATAAAGATGAAATTTAGTCAGCCGATTTAAAAGACATGCCAGTCGAGAGAGGGTTTAAGTATTGTGTGACCTTGATCGACATATACACGAGATACGCCTGGGTCTTTCCCTTGAAAAACAAATCGGATTTGACCATAATGAAACAATCCGACAAACGACCCCTAAAGTTATGGGTTGATAAAGGAAGCGAATTCTACAACAGAAATGTAAAATCTCTGGGGTTTGAAATTTACAGCACGCATAACGAAGGTAAAGATTCAACAGGACTCTTAAAAGCAAATTATTTAAGAAATTCACTGAATTGAAATCTCAAAAATTGGCTTAAAATATTATCAGTTGATGTCGACGAATACAATAACAAAATACATTCGTCTATAGGTGTGACGACAACGCAAGCTTCGAATAACCCGAATATTATAAAGTCCTTCAACACTCGAAACAACTTAACAACTGAATAATCCTAAACATTATGCCATTTTACCGAAACCAATATTCAAAGAAACTGCTAACATGATTAACAATATTCTTGCCGATTTAGTCAAAACTAGTTATCTCAAACAGAAACGATCTGACTATCTGTCTGCCAAACCTGATTGTCGCGAGAGACATTTGTACACTTTGCCTAAAATCCACAAGAATCCAACCAAGGAGTGGTTTATCTCGAATAAAATCCCTAAAGGCCGCCCGATTATATCTGACTGTGGTAGTGAGTCATAGTGTCAGAATACATTGATCATTTCTTACTACCTCTAGCATGTCAACATCGCGCCTACCTTAAAGACACAACCGATTTTGTCAATAAAATAAAAAATCTTCGAGTTCCCTCTAATGCTATTTTAATTTCTATTGACGTTTCTTCTATGTATATCAATATCGATAACAATACTGGTTTAACGGCAGTTCGTAAAGCTTTATTCCCCCATGTCTATAAGCAGAAAATGATAGTTGCATATTCAAAAAATAAGAACTTAAATGATAATATTGTTCATAGTAAACTAAAAACAATCAGCACATAACAGATACTATACTTCTCGCCCATTGGGCGAGTTATTTTTTCTAATTTCAGATCAGAATAAGAACAGAAGAAAACCCAATATCAAGACCCTTAAATAAAGTGTCTGTTCCACCCTAGGCCTGTACATTTGGGAGAATCAAACCCTCCCTTCCCCGAAATCCAAATTTGTTTTTTACCGCGTTCCGGATGAATCATCCGGAGATTCAGCGTCTGATACACCCGAAGACACACAAATGACTTCACTTAATGGTATCATCTCAGAAAACAAGGAGAATTCTGAAGATGAAAGATTAAGAAAATTGGATGTCGACAAAATAAATAACACAGGAAGGTTTTATCAAAATGAACTTAAAAAAAATGACTTTTAAAAATGTATGCATTTCTCGATAAATACGGAAAAGATACGACCACAAACTTTCAACTTATGGTTTATTATTGCATGCGAGATGAAATTGATGAACTGAAATACAGGAAAGGTCACTTTTACGCCATCACAAACATTCATACTTCGGAACAGAAAGGAGTTCATCATTCTGCTCTACATAAAGACTCTTTTATTTCTTTGATTCGTTCGGTCTAGAACCGACTGAAGAAATAACTAAATTGACTAGCAAACCAATTAAATGTTCTACGTTTCAAATTCAAATGCCAGGACAAAAGCTGTGTGAACAGCTGTCGCTTTGGTATTTATATCGGTTGAGTCTGGGAGAAAAGTTTGAAGAATTATAATAAATTTAACTCAATAAAAATGGCAAACAAGTTTGCTTCAGGGTCTTTACCTCTAGAATCTAAAAATCCCATGAGTTCTACAGCGTTTATAAACAAAGCGAAACCTTTTTTCGTGGATACCTTACAAGGGGATATCGATATGAACAATTTCAACATAACTAATTTAAAGTTTCCAGGAAACGATAACGATGCCGTGAACAAAAAATATTTACTGGATCAAATAAACGCAATTCAAATAGATAAGGACCATGTTGAAAATAGAATAACTGACGTGAAAAGATACTTCAGACGAAATATTAAAAATTATGTGGACGAACCCAAACTACAACAAGAGTTAACGAGTTTGAAACGTCTTATTCAAGTGAATAAAACAAGTCAGTTGCAAAAAGTAATACCTAAATTAGACGAAGAGATTACGAAGGTAAAAATAGACGTCCAAAGGTTTAATAGATAACCCAAATGTAAACGAGGATAGATTGAAACGAAAATCGATTGGGAAGAAAACTTGGCGAAAACAGCGGATTGCTAGGAGAACTAGACAAGACCGTGAACAATTGAAGGAAAAGATTGCGAAGCAAAAATCAGATATTCAAAATATAATTAATAATCTCACACCTCCCACCACAGCAAACAGCATCTATTTGTTTTGGATACCCCAGCTTCAAGCATCGAGTAAGTCTTTAAACTAATTACTGGGGATAAAAATACTGAGAGGCCACCACTAGGCCAAACTGTAGTTAACTTGAGCCGCAAAATTCTCACACCCCTTCAGCATTCAATCTTAGACCGTGGACTTCAGTTTATTCCCACACCAAAGATAGCTAACTTGAATTATCTCCGACCATCCATTGAACGATTTCAACGAAATCTTAACTGCACATATTTTTTTCGAAACCACCCCCCACGTGGTGCTAGAACAATGTTTATTCCTAAATCCACGTGGACACCCCCTCAGGCCGCCATCCATCCTGATATATTGAAAGCATTTGCGAGTATGAATAGCCAAACAGTGAATCTTTCCATAACACACGAAAAGCCTAATCTCACACGAGTGGAACGTGAAGCGTTAAACTTACTTAAGAAAGACGATAGCATTGTTATTAAAAAGAGTGACAAAGGTTCATGTTGTGTCATTCTGAATAGGGAGGATTACGTTTCAGAAGCAGAGAATCAACTGAATAATCCTAAACATTATGCCATTTTACCGAAACCAATTTTCAAAAAAACTGCTAACATGATTAATAATATTCTTGCCGATTTAGTCAAAACTAGTTATCTCAAACAGAAACAATATGACTATCTGTCTGCCAAACCTGATTGTCGCGAGAGACATTTGTACACTTTGCCTAAAATCCATAAGAATCCAACCAAGGAGTGGTTTATCTCGAATAAAATCCCGAAAGGCCGCCCGATTATATCTGACTGTGGTAGTGAGTCATATGCAGTGTCAGAATACATTGATCATTTCTTACTACCTCTAGCATGCCAACATCGCGCCTACCTTAAAGACACAACCGATTTTGTCAATAAAATAAAAAATCTTCGAGTTCCCTCTAATGCTATTTTAATTTCTATCGACGTTTCTTCTATGTATACCAATATCGATAACACTACTGGTTTAACGGCAGTTCGTAAAGCTTTTAATAGAAACCCAGATCCAAACAGACCCGACGATGCATTTCTACAGCTTTTAGAGATTTGTCTTAGTCGAAACGATTTCACATTTAATGGTAAAACATATTTACAAACTTCAGGGACAGCAATGGGCAAACGATTCGCCCCTTCGTACGCAAACCTTTTCATGGCAGAGTGGGAACGTGAGGTGTTGCCCCTCTGTATATTTGACCCACTTTTTTACGGACGCTTTTTGGATGACATTTTTATGGTTTGGACTTATTCAATCGAACAGTTTTGGGAATTCTTTGAAATTCTCAACAACCACCATCCTTCTATCAAACTAACCGCAAACGTGAGTGACAAAAGCATACCACAGTCTTTAAGGGAGATTCCATAGCAGAAACAAATAAACTGGATATTAAGAGTGTATTTCAAAGAAACTGATACTCATCAACTCTTGCACAAGAGCTCCTTTCACCCAAAACATACCTTTTCTGGTATAATTAAGTCACAAGTTTTACGATTTCATCGAATTTGTACAAGATCTTCTGATTTCAACCAAGCCTGTACGATTGTTTTCTCAAAACTGAAAGAGCGTGGGTACTCTAAACGATTTTTACGAAACATAAAAAATTCCACCTTAGCACAGATAGCAGCTAAAAACAGACTTTATGCCGAAGTACATCAAGGTTTAAGAAGTGCTCCATGTTTGTCCAGTAGATGCAAAACATGTCCCTTTATATCAGAAACTCATTATTTTGTAAGCAACTCTACGAATAAAAGGTACCCGATCCAGGAACATCTAACATGTGAACATTCGAATGTAATATATTTAATTTCATGCAAGAAATGCCCCAAACAATATGTAGGAGAAACTAATAATAATTTACGAACTCGCTTTAATGCTCATAGGTCAGACATCAAATTAAAGAAAGACAAGCCTGTTTCTAATCATTTCAACCTCGACGACCATTCAATAGAAGATCTCACCCTAATCCCAATTGAGCGTATAGAAATTGACTTGCCCGAAGATGAAACTACCAAATTCCGTCAATCTAGGGAGGCCCATTGGATTGAGACATTGAATACAGCAAGACCTATAGGACTAAATATTCATCATAATGTAGGCATAGCACCCTTTGTTGTCCCGTTTAATACAACCAGCAATCGAGCAAGTAAGATAGTTCATGCCCACTATAAGAGCCTTCAAGAGAAATTCCCCCATGTCTATAAGCAGAAAATGATAGTTGCATATTCAAAAAATAAGAACTTAAATGATAATATTGTTCATAGTAAACTAAAAACAATCAGTACATAACAGATACTATACTTCTCGCCCATCGGGCGAGTTATTTTTTCTAATTTCAGATCAGAATAAGAACAGAAGAAAACCCAATATCAAGACCCTTAATCCTAATTTCTAAATAAAGTGTCTGCTCCACCCTAGGCCTGTACATTTGGGAGAATCAAACCCTCCCTTCCCCGAAACCTAATCCCAATTGAGCGTATAGAAATTGACTTGCCCGAAGATGAAACTACCAAATTCCGTCAATCTAGGGAGGCCCATTGGATTGAGACATTGAATACAGCAAGACCTATAGGACTAAATATTCATCATAATGTAGGCATAGCACCCTTTGTTGTCCCGTTTAATACAACCAGCAATCGAGCAAGTAAGATAGTTCATGCCCACTATAAGAGCCTTCAAGAGAAATTCCCCCATGTCTATAAGCAGAAAATGATAGTTGCATATTCAAAAAATAAGAACTTAAATGATAATATTGTTCATAGTAAACTAAAAACAATCAGTACATAACAGATACTATACTTCTCGCCCATCGGGCGAGTTATTTTTTCTAATTTCAGATCAGAATAAGAACAGAAGAAAACCCAATATCAAGACCCTTAATCCTAATTTCTAAATAAAGTGTCTGCTCCACCCTAGGCCTGTACATTTGGGAGAATCAAACCCTCCCTTCCCCGAAATAAAATTCCGTTGATCGAAAAATTGTCAAATTCAATCTTGACTAATATCTCATCATTATAAATGATCATACCAAATTCCATTTAAATAAGATGAAAACTGTACTCTCTATTGTGTTCACAAACAATTTTGAAGCGTTTTTCATAAATCAAGGGCAATAACTCAAAAACAATTCATCGAAAGATAGTCAACTTCAGACTTGACAAGACCTCATCATTACAAATATTCACACCAAATTTCATTTAAATTGGATGAAAACTGTAGTCTCTATTGTGTTCAAAATCAAATTTTGACGCGTTTTTCATAAATCAAGGGCAATAACTCAAACACCATTCATCGAAAGATAGCCAAATTCGAACTTGTCCAAGATCTCATCATTATAAATATTAACACCAAATTTCATTTAAATTGGATGAAAACTGTAGTCTCTATTGTGTTCACAACCAAATTTTGACGCGTTTTTTCATAAGTCAAGGGCAATAACTCAAAAACCGTTCAAGAGAAAGATCGTCAAATTCGAACGTGTCCAAGATCTCATCATTATAAATATTCACACAAAATTTCATTTAAATTGGATGAAAACTGTAGTCTCTATTGTGATCACAACCAAATTTTGACGCGTTTTTCATAAATCAAGGGCAATAACTCAAAAACAGTTCGTCGAAAGATCGTCAAATTCGAACTTGAGATATCATCAATATAAATGATCATACCAAATTTCATTCAAATCAGATAAAAACTGTTGTCTCTATTACGTTCACAAGCCAATTGTGGACGGACTGACCGACGGACGGACGGACAGGGGCGACGACAATATACGACCACAATATAATGTGGGCGTATAAAAATAATGTACTCTTGGCACACATTCGTATCTACGGCGGCCATTGTCTGACAATAGCCTCGTATGCAGATGGAAGAATTGTTAGGCGGAAGTTACATCCGCGTTACAAAATACAATTCGTCAGATGTTAGTTGAAGAATATATCCTCTTCAATGAATATTGTTTCTGACATTGTTGACATCTGACTAGTTTCTGACATCCAGACGTCTCCTGTCTACGGTATCAATGACGTCTGGATGTCAGAAACTAGTCAGATGTCAACAATGGAGGACGAAAGTAGTTTTAGGAAAGTTATATTATTATAATTTGTTGTTATATATTGGTCTTTGTTTATATAATGAAAGATGTGATACTAGTTTTCGGGGAAGGGAGGGTTTGATTCTCCCAAATGTACAGGCCTAGGGTGGAGCAGACACTTTATTTAGAAATTAGGATTAAGGGTCTTGATATTGGGTTTTCTTCCTGTTCTTATTCTGATCTGAAATTAGAAAAAATAACTCGCCCGTAAGTATAGTATCTGTTATGTACTGATTGTTTTTAGTTTACTATGAACAATATTATCATTTAAGTTCTTATTTTTTGAATATGCAACTATCATTTTCTGCTTATAGACATGGGGGAATATCTCTTGAAGGCTCTTATAGTGGGCATGAACTATCTTGCTTGCTCGATTGCTGGTTGTATTAAACGGGACAACAAAGGGTGCTATGCCTACATTATGATGAATATTTAGTCCTATAGGTCTTGCTGTATTAAATGTCTCAATCCAATGGGCCTCCCTAGATTGACGGAATTTGGTAGTTTCATCTTCGGGCAAGTCAATTTCTATACGCTCAATTGGGATTAGGGTGAGATCGTCTATTGAATGGTCGTCGAGGTTGAAATGATTAGAAACAGGCTTGTCTTTCTTTAATTTGATGTCTGACCTATGAGCATTAAAGCGAGTTCGTAAATTATTCTTAGTTTCTCCTACATATTGTTTGGGGCATTTCTTGCATGAAATTATATATATTACATTCGAATGTTCACATGTTAGATGTTCCTGGATCGGGTACCTTTTATTCGTAGAGTTGCTTACAAAATAATGAGTTTCTGATATAAAGGGACATGTTTTGCATCTACTGGACAAACATGGAGCACTTCTTAAACCTGGAGGTACTTCGGCATAAAGTCTGTTTTTAGCTGCTATCTGTGCTAAGGTGGAATTTTTTATGTTTCGTAAAAATCGTTTTGAGTACCCACGCTCTTTCAGTTTTGAGAAAACAATCGTACAGGCTTGGTTGAAATCAGACGATCTTGTACAAATTCGATGAAATCGTAAAACTTGTGACTTAATTATACCATAAAAGGTATGTTTTGGGTGAAAGGAGCTCTTGTGCAAGAGTTGATGAGTATCAGTTTCTTTGAAATACACTTTAATATCCAGTTTATTTGTTTCTGCTATGGAATCTCCCTTAAAGACTGTGGTATCGAGAAAGTCTATGCTTTTGTCGCTCACGTTTGCGGTTAGTTTGATAGAAGGATGGTGGTTGTTGAGAATTTCAAAGAATTCCCAAAACTGTTCGATAGAATAAGTCCAAACCATAAAAATGTCATCCAAAAAGCGTCCGTAAAAAAGTGGGTCAAATGAACAGAGGGGCAACACCTCACGTTCCCACTCTGCCATGAAAAGGTTTGCGTACGAAGGGCCGAATCGTTTGCCCATTGCTGTCCCTGAAGTTTGTAAATATGTTTTACCATTAAATGTGAAATCGTTTCGACTAAGGCAAATCTCTAAAAGTTGTAGAATTGCATCGTCGGGTCTGTTTGGATCTGGGTTTCTATTAAAAGCTTTACGAACTGCCGTTAAACCAGTAGTGTTATCGATATTGGTATACATAGAAGAAACGTCGATAGAAATTAAAATAGCATTAGAGGGAACTCGAAGATTTTTTATTTTATTGACAAAATCGGTTGTGTTTTTAAGGTAGGCGCGATGTTGGCATGCTAGAGGTAGTAAGAAATGATCAATGTATTCTGACACTGCATATGACTCACTACCACAGTCAGATATAATCGGGTGGCCTTTAGGGATTTTATTCGAGATAAACCACTCCTTGGTTGGATTCTTATGGATTTTAGGCAAAGTGTACAAATGTCTCTCGCGACAATCAGGTTTGGCAGACAGATAGTCATATTGTTTCTGTTTGAGATAACTAGTATTGACTAAATCGGCAAGAATATTATTAATCATGTTAGCAGTTTCTTTGAAAATTGGTTTCGGTAAAATGGCATAATGTTTAGGATTATTCAGTTGATTCTCTGCTTCTGAAACGTAATCCTCCCTATTCAGAATGACACAACATGAACCTTTGTCACTCTTTTTAATAACAATGCTATCGTCTTTCTTAAGTAAGTTTAATGCTTCACGTTCCTCTCGTGTGAGATTAGGCTTTTCGTGTGTTATGGAAAGGTTCACTGTTTGGCTATTCATACTCGCAAATGCTTTATTTCTGGGCTTGGTTAAAGGAGGTCTTTGGTATCTGATCACGGTTGTTGAGGCCTACATGAAGAATAATGGTAGTAGGTTTGGGATCATGGTCGTATGATTCCAGGATTGACTGTATGTGATGGATTTGGGCAATAAGAATGTATTTCGGTGTCTGATCTGGTTTTGGTAATTCGATTCAGGTTAGATGATCCAATTATTAGGGTAGATTTCTTTAGAGCAGGTAGTTTCCATAATGATTTGTCCTTGGTTTGGTGATAATACGGTTTGGTAGCGGATATAATGGTCGTCGGCGGTGTGATTGGTACTGGTTTGGTAGTTGTTAGAATTGTAGCATTGGGAACGGACTGGGATCTGGTTCGAGGGGGGGAAGGTCTAGATACACGTCTCGACTTGGATGGAGACTGAGGGGTGGTTTGCTGGTCCAAAAACGCACAGAAGGAAGAAAGGTTGGCGGATCCTGGATCACGTGGTGAAGATTCAGATGGTGTGGAAGGGGAAGACGAGTCTGAAAGTGAAAAGAGAAGGGGTGTGCCCTCTCTACGAGAGCGTTTACCTATGTCTGCTGGACTAGGAGTAGGTGAACTTCGGGCTCGTTTAGGGGTTTGGTTCGGCAGCGTGGTGGCTCTAGATGGTGCAAGTGTAGTGTCCATTTCAGTTGGTAGAGATATGGTTACTCTGGTTTTTGTTTCGTTGATTGTTTGGTAGAATTTGGAGATTACAGCTTGAGTGAGACGTTTCCCATAGGAGCGACGGGGACAGGGCATGAGAAACGATGCGGTCGACGGCAGGTGATGATAAAGACTTAGTACGAATGGTGGTCAGCTTCTCTTGAAGTGTGGTTTGGTAATGGTCGATCAGGACCTGCGTAACCTTAGAGAGCCATGTCCGATTGAGGGATCTAATATTCGCGTCGACAGCTGATGTTTTCATTGCTGGACGGATAAAACTATCCAACTCAGAGACTTTGCGTTTGAAGGTAAACGCTGGTTGGCCTTGCTGTTGCAGGGTAAGGATTGCCAAATGATGGAGGCACTGCAAAACTTGGAAGAACACCTTCACAAAGGGTTCTTCCTCCTTATGAGTGGGGACTGGTTGGCGTCGGTGGGCTA